AAAAAAAAAAAAAAAAAAAAAAAAAAAAAAAACAATAAAAGCTATAGGGTAAATGAAATAATAAAAACAAAGGGATCGAAACCATAATTAAATCCAAAAAACATCTTTAACTCCAATTTCAAATCTTAGAAACATTGACCTTTTGATCTGTTCATGAAAAAGAGATCAAACTGGAAATTGTAGTTCGTTTAAAAAAAAAATCAAAATGAACATAGTTTAGCAGTAGACGTATACTATATTTTTCGAGGCTAGTTACTATCTCACTTTGAGGTTTGGGTCTATTTGATCGTTAAACCGTCAAAATTGTGTCTAAAAGGTCTATGAACTGTAAAAATGTCTAATAGGTCCCTAAACTTTCAATTCCATAGATCTTTGACATATTTAGAACTTTTAAAGGTTAATTGATCCATTAGATATAAAATTGAATTTTATGTCTTATGGAACACTAACCTTACAATTTTGTTTCTAGACTCGTAAATAAAAACATTTAAAGTCACACCCGACACTTTCTAAAAGTTTAAGAACGGATATGCATAAAATTGGGAGTGGAAGTGCCTAAGTTGAAGTATGCAAAAACTTACAATTTAAGAAAAAAAAAGCAATTTTTTAAGAAAAAAAACAGAGCCAAAGGTGGTTGTAAAAGCCCTAAAACATGGTATCTATTCATCATGAAAGGAAAGTAAAAAGATAGAGATAGAGCCAAACCAGTACAATGAGTTTGTTTTCATCAGGCTGTACTACTTGACGCTCCCTATAGTGTTCCGCCATAAACGGCTGAATCCGTGGCGGCAACGCCGCTGGACCAAATCCTAGGCATTCGGAACTTTTTGCTTTATCCATTCTCTGCCATTCTTGGAATGATTGCACCATTACCGCAGGCGACGGAGACAGAGAAGGCCCCGCTGCAGCGAACGGCACTCCCCATGGTTGGGGCTGTCTGAGAGGATATCCCACTGACTGCGCAACTTCACAAATCGCTCTCTCTCGTTCGAACAACATCAGTTCTCTCCTCGCATCCTCTTCCAGAAATCGCTGCCGTTCAATCTCCAGCACCAATTTCTCTTGTCTCAATCGCATCAACTCCATCTCGCAGTGCATTACCTCGTTGGTATCGAACGGCGTTCTCAGTGTTGCCATGTTCGTGGTTCGTCCGAGATAGGCGTCTGTTGAATTCAAATCCATCAAATCGAAATCGAAAATCAAGTAAAACCAGAGAAAAGTAACATAAATCCAAGAATCCTCTCTCAAATGCCTTGTATAAGTGCAGCCGCACCTAAAACCGCTTGGGATGATATGTTTGGGGTTTTACAAAGTGGAACCGCTTCCATAACCTAAAATAGTAAAGAACCCTAACCAAGCTAGAAAAGGAAAAGCATATATCAAAATTGATCGGTAAAATTTCTTCGCGGTAATATACACAAAGAATAAAAGTTAAACTTCTTTCCCTAAATTTAAACTCCCATCCAAAATTTAAGAAATTGCAATTAAATTTCATTCCACAATTCCAAGGAAAACCAATCACTATTCGAATCATCAAAAAACGGAAGAAATTTCAACCTCTCCAGTCCGCTTGATTTTCACGGAATCCAAACAGAGTAAACATAGAAACAACGCAATGCGAACTAGAAAACAGCTTACAAACAACATAAACCTGGAAATCCTTGCTTAGGTAAACAGAAACCAGGCGGCGGCATAGGAGGAGCACACTGCAGCGGCGGCATAGGAGGAGCACACTGCAGCGGCGGCATAGGAGGAGCACACTGCAGTGGCGGTGGCGGAGATCGGGGATCGCCGGCACGGAACTTGAACTCCATGGTCAAAACGCAGAAAAACGATAGTGGAAAGCGAGGGTTAGGGTTAGGGTTAGGGTTAGGGATTCCGGCGAGCGGCGGAGGGAGAGGCAAAGAAGAAGGAAAGTTGAAGAAGATGAGAAAAAAGAAGGGAGAAAACCTGGATCAACAATCGGCATCCATAGTCATGAAAGTGAATCTCGCCCTCCAACACAACCAATTTCCTTTTCTCCCCACATCTCTGTTTCAAATATTATTTTATTTCATTTTATTTGCTCAAAAAAATGTTTTTTTTTTCTTTTTTTTTTTCAATTTTTTTCCTTTGGCAATATTTTTTCCGTTTTATTTTAAAAAAGGAAATTATTTTTAGAATAAAACCATTTTTATCCTTAACCACCCAACTTTGAAAGCCTTACCATAATAAAAATAAATAAATAACTCTTTAATAACTCAACCCAACCTTACTTATTAGTCACCCCGACCTTTGTTTCAACAAAAAAAAAAAAGTTTAAATTGGGTGCCCGACCCTACAGGTTGAGTTATAGCCATAGTTGATTGTCTTAGAACTCTCAACATTTTTCCTCACTCGGGCCTTTGTTACACTCCCTCCAACTCCATTTACCCCACCATTGTTGTCTAATTTCTCGATTCGTCTGTTTGAGTTTCATTTGCTTGAAAACAAATATTTGGTGCTGATTTTGCTCAATTCATGATACTTAAAAAACTCTTGTTCTCTGCTACTAAATCTAGCATTGTTTGAGCTTCGATTTAGCTCACTCTGCCTTCAATTGAGAATCATCCTTGCACCTCTTTGCTGCTCAAACGTGTTCAACGACACTCGCCAAACATCCACAGTAAGGTTCTGTTTCTTTTTCAAAGAGGTCACTCGACATAAAATTATTTCAACCAAGATATACTTAACTTTTGAGTTCTTATGATCGAGCCACAAAAAAAAAAAAAGACACTAGTAAGTATCAATTATTTCAAGTATTTAACGGTCACTCATTTCACACATGGACTTTAACCAAAAAAAAAAATAAAGAGTTTAATTAATATCATTAAATTTAAAAATAAAAAATAATGTTATGATCACTTTCAAACATGAATTATTGACGTGGATATAAATAAAATTATAAAAAATTATAAATATAAATAAAGAAAAATGAGTGTTATTAACGTGGATGTTATAAAATTTATGAAAAAAGAAATGATAAAACATGTGGAAGAAGAGTATTGGACGGTCAATCGGCTATAAAAGCAATACTACAGTACCAACGCATTGATTAAATCAACCACTCTCTTCCACAACTCTCTCTGATCTCTTTCGAAGCTCGAAAATGGCGAACGGATGTGAGATCTGCTGCGAGATTCTCATCGCCATCCTCATTCCTCCTCTAGGAGTTTGCCTAAAACACGGCTGTTGCACGGTAATCTTACTTCTTCTTCCATCTCTCTGACTCTCTGTAATTTCGCCCAATCTGAACTCCTGGTGACCGAAAACAGCCGACGAAACTGCTCTCTGATCTAAATCAGATGACGTCGATCTGGATTAGGTTTTGGTTTTCGGTCTAATTTTTTGTGGAAATGGTATAATTGCAGGTGGAATTTTGTCTGTGTTTGATTTTGACTCTTCTCGGTTACATTCCGGGGATCATCTACGCACTCTACGCCATCGTCTACGTCGATCGCGACCAGTTCTTCGATGAGTACAGGCGTCCGCTCTATTCTCAGGCGTCGGCGGTATAGAAACCGGTTTGAATCTCTTCAACTCTGTGTTTAGCCTTTTTCGAATAAGGTTGTTAAGCTTTTGGTGCTCATGTAGCTTTTGGATTGGATTTCATCTACATAGATTTGTTCAGCTTTCTGTTTCTTGATTCAGTTGGATTTAGATTTTGTTGAGACACTGTATGGTGTTGGATGATTAAAGTCCCACATCGGTTAATTTAGGGAATGGTCATGGGTTTATAATCTAAGAATACACTCTCCATTGGTATGAGGCCTTTTGGGAAGCCCAAAGCAAAGCCATGAGAGCTTATGCTCAAAGTGGACAATATCATACCATTGTGGAGAGTCGTGTTCGCCTAACATATGGATGTGTGGTCATGAACTTAGACCTAAGAAGTTTGGAATAATTTGGATGTCGGCAATGGCGTTTTGAAGTGCCTTTGCGTAGAAAGAAGTAGTCGAGGCGTCCTTAAAACCTTCATAATTTTAAAATTGTTTTAAAAAAAAAAAGATAATTAGTAAAATTATGTTAATTTATTTGGTTAAAATAATTGTTGTCATAATAAGTAAGTTAGTATTAGTTGGATTTCAAATTTGAACCTAAAAATTTACATTAGTGAACCATATTTCGATTGAGCATGAACTCATATTAGTATTAAAAATTATACATTATATTTTGTATATTTTAAGTATTTTGATAAAAATATTAGAGAAAACCATGGCTTTAAAAGAGTTATTTTAAACAAAATATAATTTTAGTTTAAACACAAAGAATGTAAGGGAAATAAACTAGAAACAACAAATTAAATGTAAAAAGTAAAAATGATAGAGATAATAAAATGTCTTTGTAGATCAATTAATTTATAAAAATACAACCCAAATTAAAAAAAAAATTAAAGATATTATTAAAAAAATGCTCATTTAATACAAATCACAAAAAAAAAAAAAACAAATTTTTTTAATAAAATAAGTTTTCGATCATTTTGGTCGGTTTATTATGGAATATTCATTATTAAATACCAGAAAAAGTGAAGTACAAACAGATTTTTTTTTATTTTAAAAAAGTATTAGGCTTTTGTGTGTATGCATTAGAAAATGTGAAATTGTTTAAACCAGAAAATTTTAATACTTAATTAAAAAAAAAACAATTTTATGTGGAAAAAGTGGTATTTATATCATATGCTAATCCAAATTGTTAATTAAAAAAATGTTTAATGTTTGGTTACTAGATATATATTTAAAATTTGAGGATGGAAATCTAATATGGGATATTCTTTTTCTCCATCTTTGTTTCGAAAAGTAATCTATAAATATATATATTCCTATATTTTGTCGGATTTAGATTAGAATGGACCCTATAAAAATAGAAGCTAAAATAATGTATAACGTCTCAAATTGTCCCGGATAAGATATCGAAAAGAATGTTAAAGTGAGACCCCTAAGATAAAAGAAACGGAGAAAAAATCTACGAGAATTTCATAACCATAGCATCAAATCATGAATAAAAAACGGAGAAAGAATTTGTCAAACTAACCTTAAACTTGATTTTTTTTACCTAAAATGAAACCCGGATGAAAATCTTAAGAGAAACTCGATGTGTGTGTATATGAAAGAAGGTGGAAATATAGGATGGGGCATTATTAAAATGAGACAGTGTAATAAAGTGAATGAAATAGACCAAACAACTAAAAAGACAAAGAGAGGATGTCAACATTTTGACATTCACATGTCCCTAACAAATGTGATCATCTTCTCAGTTGCTCTTTCTATTGATTCAAATTTTGATTTTTTTTTTTTTTTTTTTTAAATATCGTTCAACTGTATTTTAATATTTCCCACATTTCCAATGGAACTCGTCCCTTTCTAATAATAATAATAATTTGTTTGACTGTAATAAGAAACTAAAATGTAGAGATTTAAAAAAAAAAAAAAAAAATCTTGATCCAGTAAAGAGAACGGAATTCAAGACTCTATCATTTTAGTATCATATCATATCTGCTAAAGATTGTCCTCAACGTAAAATAATAAAGAAAGAAAACATTTACTCATGTCTATTAAAACCTCATAACCTCAACTATGTCAAGAAGACTCTAATGGAGGCACGTAAATCATTATGTGAAAAAACTAAGTTTCTTTCGATATTTTTCAACGAAACTATAAACAACGCTTAAGTTTGATGAATTTGGCACATATATTGTATTAAAATATGAAACGCACATAAATCCGAACTTAGAGTGTTATTTTAAATAATAAAAATAATATTAATAAGAGAGAAAAAACAATAATAAACACATTAATTTTTCTTATTTTCTTAGTGACGAAGCAAGTGAGATGGAACATAAAATAAGATATGAGATTATAATCAAGGAGTTTTTTTGATCCAATAACTATAAACTCTCAATTTTTTATGGAACAGGGTTTGACTCTGTTACCAACCTAATTCATTTGGTACAAATTCAGAGTGGAGATTTAAACTTACTACTTAAAAGGAAAGAAATGAACACTTTTACCGATATCTTATTTGGCTAATATATTATTGATTGTTGGGAGGGAGTCCTACATTGGCTAGTTTCGGGAATGATCATAAGTTTATAAGGAATACATCTCCATTGGTACGAGACCTTTTGGAGAAACAAAAGTAAAATCACGAGAGCTTATGCTCAAAGTGTATAATATCATACTATTGAAGAGAGTCGTAGTTTCTAACCTGGTATTAGAATCATGCCCCATAACTTACCATGTCTTCAAGTGTCGAAAAAAAGTGTATTTTGTTCGAAAGCTCTAGAGAAAGGAGTCAAACCACGATTAAGGAGAGGTTGGTCGAGAGCTCCCATAGACCTCAGAGAAAGTGCTATGGTGTACCTTATTCGAGGAGAGGATTGTTGAGAGGGAGTCTCACCCATTGGCTAATTAAAATGATGATTATGAATTTATAAGTAAGAAATACATCTCCATTGGAATGAGTTCTTTTCGAGAAAACAAAAGCAAACCCTGTAAATTCAACTGTCCATTAGAATCAACTAATTTAGTTTCTGTACATTGGACTTTTGATCATTTTGATCTCAATATTTGACCAAAATTAATGTTTTCAAACAACAAACCAAACAAGGAAAAGCAAAAGGTAGAGAGGCCTCTTTTATAATATGGCGCGCATCTCGTCAAGGGGAAAGAGAAATAGAACTCTTTTATTATCCTCATAGCTTTCTGTATTCCTAAATTCCTAAGGTCACACAAGACATGGCAGAGGCATCGTGGGCGGAGCTGACGCAGGAGTGCCTAACCAACATCTTCTCTCGGCTAACCATCGAGCAGCGGTGGCGCGGACCCATGCTCGTCTGCAAGCTCTGGCTCCGCGCCGCCACCGACTCCTCTCTCTTTTCCCACTTCGACCTCCAACCCAGGTTCGACTCGACCCCCACCGAGTCCCCGGCCTGGTGGTCGCCCCAATTCGAGACCAAAATTGATTCCATGCTCCGATCTGCCGTCCAATGGAGCCTTGGATCTCTTTCCCTTATTCGGATCAGACACTGCTCCGATTCATCTCTCCAATTGGTCGCTCAAGGGTAATTAATTCACTTCTTCTTCTTCTTCTTCTTCTTTAAATTTTAATTATAATTATCATGAAGCTTTTATTGTTCAATTAGGGTAAAAGATTTCCCTTATTGTTTGGTGTTTTTCCCTCTTCAGCAAGCACTTTGCCTGTGAATTTTATGATCAAGTCAATTAAAAACTATAACATGATCTTTGCATCTGTTTTAACCAATCAATGTGCAGTTTTTTTAGAATAAAAATTGTTGGATAACACATTCAATAGGCTTGAAAATCCCAATTGGCTAGGTATGTATGTACTGAATACACCTTGTAAAAAGGATTTCTTGTTTTGGAAACATCCTTTTCTTTATTCTCTTTGGTTGGTCCTTTTCTTGTTGGTTGGATATGCAAAACTGTAGCATAAGTGTGAATTTTTATATAAATTTTGCTATAGAGATCCCACGTCGGTTGGAGAGAGGAACGAATCATTCCTTATAAGGGTGTGAAACCCTCTCTCTGCGTTTTAAAAACCTTGTAGATATTGTCCTCTTTGAACTTCCTATTCTGAGCTTCCCCTCAAGGTTTTAAAACGCGTCTGCTAGGGAGAGGTTTCCACACCCTTATATGGAATGCTTCGTTCCTCTCTCCAACCAATGTGGTATCTCACATATTAAGATAGATCGTTGTCCCAATTATGTGGTTGAAATTTTTGAACCGGTCAATCCACTCTGGATCATTCTGCAATTTCCAAGAGCTTGTTTGGATTGACCTTTTAAGGTTTTAATAAATGTTTTTAAGCAACAAAAATAGAAGTGTTTTCTTAAACACTTAGAAAGTTAATCCAAAAGACTCTGGTCATGAGGTTTGGGTTTTGGAACAACCATGGCTATAGAAACAAGCATTGAGATTAAGCTGAGGGTATGGGCACTAAGGATTATAAAAAAGGTTTAAAGGAAATCAAATTATTGGTTGGCTAAAATTGATGGCCTTCAACTTACTCACATTTTAGGTGTCCAAACCTTGAGGTTCTTTCCATCAAGAGCTGCGCCAATGTTACTGATAGATCAATGGCTAAGATTGCTCTTGGTTGCCAAAAGCTCCAGGAAGTAGATATCAGCTACTGTCATGAAATCTCGAACGTATCTTTGTCGTTAATCGGCAAGCATTGTCCAAATATCAAGACTCTAAAACGAAACTTTTTCAACACTCTAGATCCTTCCCAACAAAAGGGAATTGTCCCTGACAGTTATCTAAATGCCTGCCCACAAGATGTGGATTCAGAAGCTGTGGCTATTGCAAAATTCATGCCCAACTTGGAGCACCTTGAACTCTGTTTCTCTAAAGTCTCTGCTAAAGCTCTAACTTTGATCTGTAAAGGATGTCCAAATCTCAAGTACTTGGATCTGTTTGGGTGTGTGAACTTGACAAGTCGTGATATCGTGAATGCTACGTCGAGTCTGGAGAATTTGGAGATTAGGAAACCAAATTTCTATATTCCGAGGTCGGTCTTTCACACCGAGAGGTATGGCCATTGGAGGTTATACGACGAGAGATTCCAAACAGATATTTTCCGAATTTGATGGAGGTTACAGTCAAAGGCAGGGTTGATGCTGTCCTAATTCAATGTGTATCAGTGTTGTTTTTCTAAGTTGTACAGTTCTTAATTTAGCTGTTTTGTTTCATGACAGTCCCAAATCTGTACTCTCTTTTGAATTTGTATTGTGGCTTGATGCGACATAAGGTTTGTATAACTTGTAGTTAACAGCAAATGGGTTTCAGGTTTAACCTTGTACATCCCTTCATGTTATTGTTTCCAAGCTTGTCGGAACCATTTTTCTCTATTCCTCTGAAACTCTTATCTCTCTCCATCAATATCACTGGTCTAAACAATTTTTATTTCTAAAGCTTTGGTTTACATGCATCTCAACTTGTATACCTCTGAGAGTGTCTGGATAGTATAAGCTCGGGATGTTTGGAAAATATCTGTTTTTAAGGTTTTGAGTTAGCCTCAAGTTAAAAACTTATATTTGAAATCCTACTTCTCGAGGTGGTCTTAGGATCGGGGAATGCTCAAAGCTCTTGTCTCTTTGATTTTTTCAGGTTAAATTACAAGTTTAGTTTATAAACTTTCAAGTTTGTGTCTATTTGATCACTGAACTTTCAAACGTGTCTAATGAGTTAATATACGTAGGTACGTGTCTAATGAGTTAATATACTTAAGTTCTTGATAGACTCAAAATTTAAAATTTTATTTGAGCTTGATGTCAAAAGAAATCCTAAACTTTCTATTTTGTGTCTAATAGATAGGTGAATTTTAAAATTTTCCTAAATCTAGGAATTAACTTGCATGCATCCCAACTATTTTCATCTGCCTAACAATATTTATTGCCAAGAAAAGTTGAGGGATAAGAAAATCTAAGTAGCCACCTAGTTTGACCTTATTCTCTCTAAGCTCTGTATTGACCCCGATTGACCTATCCCTTATTGATCATTAGGTCAGTTGCTTCCAACCAACCAAGGATAGCAATTAAGACCACCGTATAAGAGGTGGGGCCTGAACCAATTTCTATTTAGCTATGGTAATGTTCCTAGTCCAATGGACGAACAAATCATTAAAGTTAAAATACTATTGAGTCGTCTTATCCCCATTTCTTCTGTTGTCAATATTGAGTAAGCCTCATTGAATTTTCTGTTGTATATGCACGGATTTTCACGTCATGAGCATCAAAATTTATGAGCAAACCAATCATGTAGCTTAGAAAGTTAGAGAACAGCTTTACAAACCTGGAATGGCGAGAGTTAAACCAACGAATTAGGTCGTCTATGATGTCTGGCCTGAGCTCCCCGAGTCTCCAAATGTTGTTGTGACGCGGTCCATGTATAGTACGTAAAGCCCATTTCTGCTTTCCAAGAGTTCTAAAGCATTCTTGGCGTGTAGATTGGATATCATCCACTCTTCAAAGAGCACTGCAATTTGGTAAATGTCATTTCCAAATTCGATTACAAGACTACAATAAGGAGGCAAAAAAATGCGATGCTTGACCAAAAACAATGCTTACGGGTGTTGAACTTTTCGTCCCTTGACCACATCTGTAAGTAGTCCGATGTCGAAACCTAAATAAGTTGAATCCTGTTTACCATTAAAATGCTCCATATCATGGTGCGATAAAGACAAGTCTGCACAATTACAAATCCATAGAGGCTTGGCAATCAGATTGGCCCTATGGAGGGAACCGCCCGGTGATATTAAACTCATTTTCTACACATGAAACAGAGTTTTTAAGTGATACACATGAATTCTTATTGAATTTATATAACTTATGCAAGCTGATACTAAATTTTACCAGTTAACTTTGTGAGGTATCTAAATCGAAACCTCTAAATTTTACCTTTTAAACGGTTGAGGATTGTTGGGAGAAGAGTCCTAAAAACCAGATTAACGAAATTAAATCCAATAACAGAAATGTCATTCTCATACCGGAGAAAAAGAGTTGCAAAGCTCTACAAGAAAATCGGCTATCCAACTTAAGCTCAGAGATGCTCAACTTCATCATCTTCATTGAAGTCTGAATTTCAAACAGAAAATAACGAAATAAAAAGTCGGGAAAGAGACAAATTCGAATAGTTGTGAGCTAAACTAATTGTACAAATGGAATCGGTTATCCAACTTGATGATAAAAGGTCGAATTTTGCAGGGATGCAGGATCCTAAAGGAACTAAATATCCCATTATATATGTTAAACAGACAAACAGAGGTTGAACACAATTTTAGTTCTAAACTTCAGTTTGGAACACAATTTCATGTAAGTATCTGTTTTTGTTATGTAATGACCTAACATAGTCATTGATTTATAGGAAGAAGAAATCTCATTAAATCTTAACAAAAAATATTACGACTTAATCATTATAAAATTCAAAATACTGAAACTAAATTGGTACAAAATTGGAAGTGCAGTTTGTACCTGAAAGTCGCTTCCGATGAACTGCATTGCCTGTTTTTCTCCTCCGTTCCCTATAACGCACTATATTTTGAGAATATTTGAATCCATATCAAAACATTGGATGAAAATTAAGCAAATGACAACGAAGAAGGCGAGGAAATACTTTGTCTGAGAAATCTCCGGCGAAATACGTCATTGAACCTGCTGTCCGTTCCATCTTCGAGCCGTTTAGGGTTCGATTTCCCCAGATTATCAAAGAAAAAGCACTTGCAAGTGGCGTTTTGGTAAAAAAAATCATCATGCGAAGCATCTAAAGCCAAATCATCACAAACGAACCTAATAAGTTCGAAGACAGAAGTAAGGAAAACAGGGAGATTATTACACAGACCTTCAGCTAGCTTCAGATCTTCTCTCAGCTTAAGAAGCTCTTGCTTCCGCTCCTTAGCCTAGAACTCCCACTGATCTTCAATTAGAACTTCGCCAATAGAGAATAAAACTAAAAGGAACCAGAAAAACTAAAACGAACAGCATATAGAGAGACCTTCCGCTTCCATTGGAGAGCGTCGGCATCGGAAGCAGGATTGGAAACAATAGAATGCTGCTGCTGCTGCTGCTTCTGAATGGCCTTGGAGCGGAGAAGAGAAATGGCCATGGCGAGCTTGAGTGACCGATCATCGATTCCTCCCATCATACAATAAACGCTTACCATTCTTTCATATATCAATATACTTCGGTCCATGATTGATTATACCTTAGAGGCAAATAATGAAAATAACTCTCCCCATACACAACTTACCATTTTTCATACCAAGATGCTCGGGTTCGTGACTGATTGATTATACAATAGAGGCCAACAATATAAAATAACTCTTTTCGAACACGACTTATCATTTTCTCATACTAAGATGCTCGGGTTCGTGACTGATTATACAACAGATGCCAACAATAGACAATAACTCTCCCCGAACACAACTTACCATTTTTCATACCAAGATGCTCGAGTCTGTGACTGATTATACAATATAAGTCAACGATAGACAATAACTCTTTCCAAACATAACTTACAACTTTCATCGTGCACGTTAAAAGAAAAGGTTAGATGTCCGAAATTACTATCACAATCAAGTCACCTCATATCCTGTACAATAACTCTCCCGAACATAACTTATAACTTATAACTTTCATCGTGCACACTAAGAGAAAATGAGAGATACTCTAAAATGATCGTCATGTCGTTCGTACATTCATAGCTTAGACTTCTAATTTAACCGACTATACGTCTTCGTTGCACGTTGCTAGTAAACATTATTTTTGTATACCTTTTTGTGCAACGGAATATATATTTGCTCTTAAATTTTATAAATTCTTAGATTTTTTTTTTTAATTTTGTGTTTAATAGGTTGATATATATAATGAGTAGTTTTATTTTTTATTTTATTTTTTGATATTTTTATAAAATTGTACTCATTTTATACCCATTATTCTATTTTATAGTCAACATTTTCTCTTCAAAATACTTAAAAAAAAATCAGTTTCTTAGTGTTTTAAATATTATTTTAGAATAAATTATAAAAATTATTTCCTATCAAAGGTTAAAATTTAGTTAATTACTTTCAATAGATTAATCATTGTCAATTTATAGTTAATGTTCACAAAAAGAATATTGGGATTATTTTTAAATTTAAAAAATATATTCACCTAGTATATGTATTGTAACGAAAATTAATTTTGTATAATTTAACTCCTTTTATTTTATTCCATTCAATTTTAAAAAATAGACTAATTTGAAAGTAAATTAAGATTTAATCTACTAATTTAATAGACTAATAGAATGAATTTGAAAGTAAATAGACTAAAATGGTATTTCAAGGTTTAATTTTTTTTTTTATTGAAATTATCGATTCAAAGTAACTTCTAGTTAGAAATATGAACTAATTATTCAACCATAAGCAACAAAATCAACCACCGAAATCAAACTTTTTTGAATAAGCAAACGGTTCTGAATCATGAATTTTATAAAACTAAACCAATTAACGTGTGTTATACAAACATCAACTCCACTCCAGGGCAATTGTCTTACCCTACTACATTTGGTTGCCAAAAAGACTCGTAAGATGTTAAATTTTAAGTAGATAGACAACGTGGCTGGAACTTATCTTATAAGCCATTTATTATTTTATTTTTTAAGAAAGGAAGTCGACTCCAAAGAGATTTTCATCAAAGAGAAGAAATTCCGAAGAAGCATAGAGGAAAGAGTTTCACAGGAATTGTCTCGAGTTCTTGCCAGCCTGTGACAAGAGTGATCGTTGACCCTACCCTGACTTTTATATTTCTCTGAATTGGAGTGATAAACTCTCTAAACACGGAAAGGTGTCCCGGCCAATCTATGATAGCTAATAATCACTCTCACTATCCTCTTAGGCACTAAAAGCTAAGTTTGGAGCAAACTAAAAAGTAAGCTCAGAGATATGGATGCTTTTCAAAAGAATGAGTAGCACATCTGATTTCTAAACATTCCTCTAAAAAAAATAGGATGAACAACAATCTGGTGCATAAGATTAAACAGAACATTATACATTAATCTCTCAAATATCTCTATATGCTAGAAGTAGATTGAGATTGTTGTGACTAACCCTTCTATTTTTGGCTTAAGCTCGATGCTTCCGGAGCTTCGACACCGGCCGAAACTTCATTAACTGCAGCAGGTTTATCTTTTTTCTTTGGGGGTTCTTGAGACTTTTGTAGAACAGCCTTGTTAGGAGCTAGAACAATAAATACATTCCTGTCTCTGAAGTTTTTGGCCTCTTCAGTTGCAAGCTGTGAATAATAAAGTATTGAGCAGTTCAATGGAGAAGAGAGATAATAACAGAAGGTATCATATTTACATTCAGTAAATAAATAAGAGAGAGAAGAAGACTCGAACTAAAGAAAAAACACAAAAAATGAGCAATATGATCTGAATGTTCTGAATGGGTACCAAGTGTCACGGTCATGCTCGTCTAGGGTGTGTTGCCCGTGACTGCATGCCTATCCCATGCCAAACCCTTTATTTAGTTTCATGTTGTATTGTCTTACTATTGTATTTTCTGTTTGTACAATTGCTCGGCGAAATCATGTCTAAGTCTGTCAGACCTGAATCGCCCCAAAATGTAGGGGTATGACTAGTTGTCAACTTCTCCCCCTAATTTTGTATGACCGTTCGGCAAAATCACATTTAGGCCACCTGAATCGCCTCAAAATGTACTATAGGGGATGCGACTAGTTGTCAAATTCTCCCTACCCAAAAAGTTATATGTTATTTAAGTCGTTGTATTACCTTTTGCTTGTATATCATATAACATTGCTTTCAATCTCTCTCAATCTTGCTTTCAAAATCTCTCTATCCCCGTTTTCTAAAACCTTATTCTCAAATCAAGACTAGAGGCTTGAGCATATGTTGCCCGATTGAAGGCGACACGAATACAAACTGGCTTGACTCACTTGGTGTTGGGAAGTGAGCGCCAAACAATCGCAAAGTCTGCTGCCAAGAAAAGTGCGATTGTGACACCAAGCAACCCTTCCAAATCGTCAAAAAAAGTTGTCTTTGGGGAGAAAAGAAATATCAGGATTTTCAGAGGGGTAAAAGTACTAGCAGGGGAGGTTGGTTCCTCGATAAATATCACGCCTCTCTTTGGATTTCCATCGGTATAGATTTCTTAATTGTTCGTTAGGCCTTATCTTGCTTGACTAGAGCCCCTTCCTATAGATTACTTGGGCTCTCATTAAGATTTAGAAATGTCGAGAATTGTTGAAAGAGGAGTCCCACATCGGTTAATTAAGGAGTTGATCATAAGTTTATAAAGAACCGATCTATGAGATTTTAGATAATAAAATCTCATGAATGAGTTCAAATATTGTAGGTTTAACTACACTTTCAATTTTCACTTGAAACAATAAGGAGCATCATTTTTCTCTAGTATTGCCATGATGAACATATATTAAAGGTGGCGCAAAACCGATAGAACATGAATACCTCGCCAAGCTCTTCCTGGAAACGTTTGACGAGCTCAATCGCTATTTTTCTGAACTCATTTTCACGACCCTTCAAGTTCACTATAACTTTAACCTACAATATTCGTTACAAGATTTCCAAAGTGATGCAAACAAAATATAACAATAAATTGGGGTGCATGAAGAGAAAACAAAAGATATAGAAAAGATTTCTGAAGAAACCTTATCTCCATCTTGCAAAAACTTCTTTGCAGCTCTCAAACGAACAGAGTAATCATGTTGGTCAATTTTATAACTGTGCAAAAATAATAGCAACCAGAAGGTTGAGATTGAGAAAAGGAACGTGTGCAGAATTATTTCTGAAATGGCAGCAAAAAGCAAGGAACAAAAGCCTCTCATCACTCTTGGCTTTGCAGGTTGATTATTGATCTTAGAAGTCATAAGTTCAAGTGACTTTAGGTTGAGAAGAAGAAAAGAAAGGAAAACCTCCAAAAAACAAAGCAATTGAGGAATGTGTTACCCCATTTTAAGCTCCTTCAAATCCATGCGAGTTGCTAACATTCAAAACCACACATTATTAGTATCTTTCCCCAAATCTGAAAGGTTTGTGAACCAAATAAATTGTGCAGACTCAATTAAGAAAGAGATTCACCAGCACTTTTCTTCTGTTGTTCTCGTTTCTTCTTTTGTAGATCGTACCTATACTTACTGAGAAAGACAGGAAAATAAAAATCTCAACATAAAAGGAACGAAGTTCAACAAGGAAAAATGAATGTGACCCTTTAATTCTCCCAGTGAAAACATAACAATCATCATATTTTTTATTATTTCTCCATTACATTGTACCATGTTTCCATCTCTTTAGTATTTTCATATATTACTTTCTCAAGAACATTTAATTGAAAGTAAAGTATTAATTGAATATAAATCATCTCAACGGGTTTACTATAAGAACTAGTGTAATCATTAAAGTTCATCAGATTGGCATTGGACTTGAGCAAATACAACTTTTTCCACAAGCAGAGAGGTAATGGGAAGAACAGAGTGAGAAAGTGGCATACCTGTAATCCATTATTCTGACAACCGGAGGATCTGCATCAGGGGATAATACAACCTGAATGGAATAGAAAGAATTAGCTATATCCAACACAAAGCAACAAAAGTACCTTGTAATTGCTCAAGCCTACCGCTAGCAGATATTGTTCTCTTTGGACTTTTCCTTTCAAACTTCCCCTCAAGGTTTTAAAACGCATCCTCTAGGGAGAGGTTTTCACACTCTTATAAGGAATGTTTCGCTCCCCTCTCCAACCGATGTGCGATCACACATCAGTTGGAGAAGGGAACGAAACATTCCTTATAAAAGTGTAGAAACATCTCCCAAGTAGACGTGTTTTAAAACCGTGAGGCTAGCGGCATATGTAATGGGCCAAAGCTGACAATATCTGCTAGCAGTTGGCTTGGGTTGTTACATACATAGTTTCCAGGAAAATAATAGTCCATGACCATCTTTATCCATGTGGTAAACAATACACAGACTGTGAACCGAGTTCGTAAATAGCATCAGCCAAACTTGAGTATGCAGACAACTAAACTGCTGATTTCTGAGAAAGTTTCAAGTCTTGTGTTGACAGATAGAAGTTTCGTTGCCAGTTTACGCCCATATGGAAAGAAATTACAATTTTAAATCGTAGCAAACAGTAAAATTGGCCTAATACACAACTCTGAAATGAAAAACATTCACCATGCGATGATTCTTCTAGTTATGGATGAACTTCTATAACTTAGAACTAGAATTTTCAATTATAATTACCATAAGCTTTTGATTCCATGCTCAGTTTTATATAGAGAACAGTTTATTGAAGATAAAAACCAAAACCCAAGTGACATTAAACAAGCAGAGAGTGAAAAAGGAATTAAGATTTAAGATCAACATCAACCTGAAGCTAAAAAGCACATTCTCGATTTCATAGTTTCAAAAGAAATATGAGCTATGTATTTTTTTTTTTTTTTGTTGAAAATAACTTTGTGTAGGAAACACTCGCACACTTTATTAACACCAATCGAGAAGAGATTACAAGACACACTGTAGAAACTATTGCTGCACTCTGTGCTTTGTATTTCTTGGGATGAAAACCTAGATAGGGCGGAAGAGTATTTATACTAAAGACTATACAATCTATTCCTAAAATATCTAAATCTTTTTCCTAAAATATTTAGGTATCTTGACCGTATCAGGCTAGTGATGGTATTTCAATATTTTGTCCCCACATAGCATTAAAGTATGGATCAAGGTTTCTTTGGATGAATCAACGTTTCTTTGGAATTCATAGAAAAACAATTATTTTAACAACAAACGGTACAAGACGACGTACCAAATCGAGTTCGGCATCCTCAGCCATTTGAATCGCCTGGGACTTTGGCACAATTCCAACCTATTCATTTCAAGAAGATTAAATTTCCAAACTAAGGCGCCTCGCATACAAGTTTCGAAATGTTGTAAATGGAAACAGGAAGATAGACAAAAATTGCCTTTCCCCAAGCAAAAGCTATTCAGGCGGAACAAAACACCTACCATATTCTGCTGTTCATCGATAAGCCTCACATTATTCGACCTATACAAATCACTCACAAAAAAAAACGCAATAAAGAAAATAAGAACTCGGAATCAAAAACAAAATTCATTCGTCATGTAACTCTTGCATGTATAAGGCACAAACCTGATGGAGGAAACATCGAGAGCAAGAGAATCTTCAGAGCGCTTAGAACCCGTCGGTCCTGAAGATCGAGGAGCGCCACCGTATCGAGCAAATACAGAAGTACGAATTGGAGAGGAGACGAGACGCAGAGAGTTGGAGCTGTGAAGGCGGAATCTGACGGCATTGGATTTGGAGGAGGGGAAGGGTAGAGGGAAAATTGAGGTTCGAAAGGGAGTGGCAGAGGAGGAGGAGGAGGTGGTGGCAGTGGCGGTGGCGGAGGATTGAGATGAGATAGATTTGAAAGGGAAGCGGCCGGAGAGCCCAGCCATAGAGGTTTGAGCTGAGGATGGGGGGCAGTGGAGGGTGTGAATTTGACGAAAATTAAAGAAATTCGAAAAGAAAATTAAAAAATCTTATCCACAATACTTTTGAAGTGGACTCTAACCGTTTTCTTCCTTTTTTTTTTTCCGAGATATTTTCTGATTTTTTAATGTCATTTATTTCCATTTTTATTTGTAATAAAAATAAAATATTAATTTGCAATTCCTATTTATTTATTTTTAATTATTAATATTTGTAACTCGATAAAATTAAGGTTAGAAAATAAAATTAATTACAAAATTAAATATATATAATATATTAAAAAAAATTAACCAGAGTTAAACTCAACTCAAACTGATGGTAAACTAATTACCATTTTAGATAAGTCCGACTATTTATATATATATTTATTTGAATTCAACTCAATCTAAATAAGTTGATAATAAAATTTAAAAGTACGAATTAAGTTGGGTTGATCGGGTTTCTTCATATCATTAGTCTTTTTTTTTATACCCCTATTTCTTATCATCATTCCTTAATTGTCATTCAAATGAAGAATTAAATTCAGCATAAAACCAATCTAAGAAACTAACCAATATAAAAATACTAGTAAATTCGATACCGAGAATAACTACTCGTCTTTTCATACATAATCAATAGCTACTACTAATGACAAGGAACAAAGATTAATTTGGATTAATTTGATTGATTAAAAGTTGTTTAAATTTAAAATAATAACTCAAATTGTAAAACTCTTAAAGAGAATTGGGATCATTAAACTAAATTTTAAAGAAATTTCGTAACACAGCTACATTTAATCTTATAAAACTTGGCTACTAATTCGGTAACCACGTACCTGACTATGATAAGACTTTTTAAGTTCATAACATAGTTATATTTAATCTTATAAAATTTAATTACCAATTTGGTAACCACATACCTGGCTATGACGGGGCTTTTTAAGCCTTTTATACCACCAATGTTATTCCTTGTTAAGTAATGGTTTATTCCTCTTACAAGGAGTTGCACAGTTTTCTCCTCAGGAGAACCTAAAAACATGGAAAACATCATGAAACATCATAAATGGTAGAAAGAATCGGTGTAATGTCTACCATTATGCTACATGTTCAATATATTCTAAAATCTCGAAAGAGTCTATGTACCATAGCATAAACTTAGCATCCCGATCAGGCCAAGCACCATAAACTTCAAAGTATCTTCTTCTCGAATCAACGTAACTTTTCCATTTACTTTGGGCAGTTTATAATCTCATCTTAATCTTTTGTACCACTTCATTTGTAATCTGAACCAATTTGATCAGATGACAATATTGTTTACTCTTCAAATAAAAAGAATTCAAAGCCTTCCATACATCTTTGCAAGAACATCAACTGGGAACAATGACCTTTCATTGGTGTGTTAGACTTGTTTTTGTTACAAATCATCCAATTGATTGAGATCAAATAAATAAGCAACAACATCACGTTGTGCAGCTAAAATCAACCATACATTTATATCTCGCGATTTTCATTTATCGACTGAACTATCACAAATCTTATTCGAGTATTCTAACACGACTAGACTTCCACTCGAAACTAGATAACACGAAATAAAAAGAGGGGGGGTGAGAGACAAAAAGAAAATGTCCTAACCTCATACATATGAACTAATTGACATCTTCACTTTCATTTGCATTGTAACACTCCTATTGGGGACTGCTGCTATTGGAATGACCTGCATTTTCTTTCCAATACATATGCTGCTGTATATATATGTATATATATATAAATAAATAAATAAATAAATAAATAAATAAATAAATAAATAAATAATCAAATTTACATTTAAGATGGATGAAGCAAATACAAGTGGCATTTTGGAGGTTACTATGTTGTTGTTAGATTCGTTGGCGAGGGGTTATGAAGGTAGTGTGGTAGTTATACTTATGGGGAAGAAGATTGAGAGTTGTGTTTTCCAAAGATTGCTTCATTTGAATGAGATGTGTCCTAAGACTATGCTCTTCTACCTGTTTCAATACACAAAATAACACATCAAAATCAAATATAATTCTCAAGAAACCAGTTTAAGCAAGAATTTAGACATTTTCTATCTGCATGAAGATGGAGTTTTTGGAGGATAAATATATGGATGTTTGGGAATTGACTAGAAAGAGATTTCTTTGATTTTGTTCATGAGAAGTAAAGAATATTGTGTGCTCTAGCTTTTGAACTCAAGAACACGGTCGTACAACCTGTAGAACAAATCCTGTTCAAGTATGGTCGATAAAGAAGATTTGGTGCTTAAAACTATTGTTCACTAAACCAACACGTTTTGGTAAACAAACAAGTCATACAAGGATATATCGACATACCGTTAATAATCTCATGGTTTTTGGAGTAAGAACACTTGTTGAAAGATAGGATATTTATTAAGAGAATTGAGAAGAAACAACTTTAAAAAGAACGGTAACTTCAAAATGTTTTCATTCAATTTCAGTGAAGAAAGCAGAAAAAGTTTTCATAACATTTCCAAACGGATCTTGGTAGTCAGCTAAAAATTTCCAAACAGAACAAATTTCAATTTTCTTGTCATTCATAAGCTAAAAAAAATTAAGAAAATCTATATTCTTAGATTAGATACATAAAGACATTTTCTAGGAAGCTTGCCAAAATGAACTAGCTTTCAAAGTGGTGAACTCTTGATCCACTTTGAACCCATACGTTATGTTATTTCACCGTGAGTTCCTATTCTTATGCAAAATTAGGATTTACATTAAATTTTTTTCGTAACCTCAATATTTTACGCAGCTCGTGCAATAATGTTGTAGCTCACCGTAAACAGATATTATCTGTTTTAGCCCGTTACGTATCACCGTCAGCAAAACGCGTCTACTAGAGAGAGGTTTCCACATCCTTATAAGGGATGCTTTGTTCTCCTCTCCAACCGATGTGGGATCTCACAATCCACCCCCTTGGAGGCCCAGCGTCCTCGCGGGTACATCACCCAGTGTCTGGCTCTGATACCATTTGTAACAGTCCAAGCTCACCGCTAGCAGATATTGTCCGCTTTGGCCCGTTATGTATCGCCGTCAGCCTCACGGTTTTAAAATGCGTCTAATAGGGAGAGATTTTCACACCCTTATAAGGGATGCTTCATTCTCCTCTCTAACCGCCGAGGTGGGATCTCACAAGTATCAAGTGAGATTTGTGAGATAAATGGGCCTTCCTAGAGCAGGAAAATATTGTTCTCACCTGCATTGCTGTTGTTGAAGCCAGCAATGATTCACATTCATCTAACATTGCCTTCTCTTGTGAAGCTATGGCCGCAAGTTCCGAAGCCAACCCATTCATTCTCTCCACCTATAACACAGAAAAAATATTGATAGAAAATGGAGGGTCAAGACAACAATATGTAATTCAAACTGACAGCAGAATTCAAGATATATGCTAATGCTCAAACCCAAGGACCATAAAGAAATATACTAACTCAATCTGTAAGAGAGTATTAGTTAACTCAGCAAAGAAATCAGCTGAAGTAAATCATTAGATGACTGAAATGAATAAAATGAAGTTTTCCTTGACGTCAAACATACGCTGATATCTACGACCCTAAGACATGGGGTGTGATGTAGCAAATGTTGAAAGAACATTTGAGGTAACGGTTTCAGTGGACTGGTTTGGATAGCCTTTCAACCACGACTGATGCCCACACAACTCATCAATCGAAGATGAAACTGAAAACTGAGCTCAAACTAACCAAACCCTGCCAAAAAACAAAACTAGACTGACTAACTAATTTTCATTTTTACAGTCTATGAAAGTTTAAATACGATATTAAGAAACTTACAAAATGTCTATTTTAGCCCCCTCAATTTTAAAAAGTAATCATTTTGATCCTTGTTTTTATTACGTTTTTGACAAATTAATGAGATAAGTGTGATTCAAGCCACAAAAGTTAGAGAAGAGCATTGAACGAGTGGAAATTAAATGGAAAAAATAGCATAATAAGAACTAAAATAGTTGGTTTTTGGAAAGTTAAAAGAGACTAAAATAGACACTACAAAAGTTAGGGGACCAAAATGAAGCAAACACAAAAGTTCAAACCAAAATGGATAATTTGACACTTTAGAGACTTAAAAGGGGACAAATTTAAGAGAATAAGGACCAAAATAGAATTTAAACCTTTTATGAATCTGATCGTATCAATATTTATTGCTTAAACGGTTGATACTTTTGGGTTTTTTTGGTTTTTGTTTGCACCCCACCCCTAAATGAGGCTCATCTCAAGGGAGTTTGTCAAAATACTTGCATTCTTAAGATGCATCAATTTGTCGATCGCACAAGATGATCTCGAATCCAAATATGCTGATGTCTCCATTTGTCAAATGAATCTCAAGGGAGATTTCTTTTATAAAGAAAGAAATTGAGCCTTTTCAAGCAAAATAAATGATACAAAGGCGTACAAAAAACAGCCCCAAAGGGAGTTCAAACTCTATACACTAGCATCTACAAAGAGTCGTTTAACCTAACAATAGTCCAAACCTCTTTATAGGACCTCAAAACTCCTCAAAAAAATTTACGTCATCCTAAAAGCGAAAATTAAAAAAGAAAAGAAAAGAAAAGACTTCCCCCATCATAGAATAATAATGTTTAGTGTACGCCAAGCAGATTTCAAGCATATATAAAAATATGATTCCATAAAGACTGAGCAAACTTAGAACTCCACAGGAGTGGTCAAACGCAAGTCTACACAAGGTGTACCACAACAATCCCTGCAAAATGCATCTGGATGTGGTCCAAATGATTCACTTTGGCAAACAATTGCCACAAAAAGAACTTGACCTCCTCTGAGATCTTGTCCTTCCAAAGAGACGAGAACGGAGAGGCTCTAGGATAGATGGAGGGACATATAAGAGATTAAAAAAAATCATTAAAAGATTTTTTTTCTTTTAAAAGAAAAAACTTCACCTGTGAAAGCAAAGAGTTAAAACCTCACCTGTGAAAGCAAAGAGCATATGGAGGACGCCATTACTCGCATCACGTTGAGAGCAGAGCCGATTGCACCTTTCAATGATTCAACATCTGCCTGCAAAAGAACAAATCTCTACTCTATGAGACTGAAACTAATTCAATAATTGAATATTTCAAATTTGAAAAACTTTTTACAACCTAACATACCGTTGCCCCTGCAGTTAATGGAACTCGGAGAGTGTTTGCTTTAAGATCTAACAATACACCTGACAATGAATTGATATGGTCTCTCTCAAGTGAATCCCATTCATCAAGGTAGGACATCTGGATTTTCATGATTATAATAGTTTACATTATATTTTGACAAAAGTAAAAGTAAAAAAAATTAAAAATAAGAACTAAATGTCCTCCAACAAGATAACAAAAAAAAAAAAAAAAAAAAAAAAAAAAAAAAAAAAAAAAAAAAAAAAAAAAAAAAAAAAAAAAAAA